ACAGCGACGATGCTGATGAGTTATCGACAGTTCGTTCTTCATCATCTAAGTCAAAGAAGCTCTCAAGATTGGACAAGTTGGAACAAGAGTTCGGTGATATGAAGGACATGTTTTCCAACTTTATGAAACGATTTGAACCCATCTCCGATAATGAGTCCGAGCCAGAAGAATCCTACGCTTCTTCTGAAGATGAGCTTCAAAACAGTCAGTCCTTGCATAAGTCGGAGACTGTTAAATGGAAGGCGCCAGATCTACCATTAGAAGAGGAAGAAGATGACAATCGTGACTTTATTCCGCAATCAAAGAAACAAGAACCAACAATGCCTACGCCAAAACCTCATATTGAGTCACAAGGTATTCAGTGCCTAAGATTAGGAGAATTATCCTATAACCAGATCCGGTACGCTGAAGTGCAAAAGAAATTACAAGCATTTCCAGTGTTCCATGCTTTAAAGCTGAATCCTGCCCTAATGAAGATTTATAATTCCAGCGCTTCTCTGGACTCTCTAACAAAACAGGAAGCTTCCTTTGGTACGATACTGCATGGCTTACTATTACAGAGAGAGGCACTCACCAGTGTTGTAAAAGACCTTTCAAAGAAACATCCTTCCCTGAAGCAGGACCTGAAAGAGTCACTTTACGGCACGAATTCAGCTTTCAAATGTGTTTCCGATGATGTAATGCAGTATGTTTGTGGTCGCAAAGTCGAGGCAATAGAGCAAAGAAGAAATGCCTTTCTACCGCAAGATGTCTATCTTTCAACTTTATTGAATGATATTCCGCCATCTTCAACACACCTTTTCGATGAGAATAAATTTTCAGAGCTCTTAAGACAACCCTCGTTTCAAGGATTTTTTCGTGGTTCCACCACATCATATTCCTCGTTTAAGCCCAAATTTCAACCAAAAGAAACTTCAAGTTTTGAACAACGAAAAAGAGTCCATAAATCGTCCAGGACGACATTCAAACCCCACTCACAGCAGTTTAAAGGTTCTAAAATGGAATCCTGGAAGCCTAATTCTAAGAGAGCCCCAAAGCGAAGTTTTAATGCTCGCTCCTTCTACAACGAGTCCAGTTCTAAAAAACCAAGACAATCCTGACTTGCAGGATTTCAAAGGGCGGAGACTGAGAAAATTCGTGAACGTCTGGCAAAAAAAAAATGGGGGCACCTCCGGGGATTCTAAATATAATAGAGGGATATTCTATCCCCTTCGTGGTAAAACCTCTTTTTACCCCTCTGACGGGAGTTTGCCTAGAGAAGTTTACTTCCAGGGGACTGGACGCAGAGATAGAGGTCATGATTTCTCAGAACATTTTGGAACCCTGTCTTTCACCCCTAGGATACCTATCCAAGCTGTTTCCAGTTTTAAAACCAGACGGCAGTTTTCGCCCTATTATAAACCTTCGAGGGTTAAACAGGTTTCTACGGCCAAAGAAATTCCGTCTTCTAAATCATTTTCGAGTGCCAGAATTTCTCCAAGAAGGGGACTACCTCTCGAAAATAGATATTTCCCAGGCGTATTTTCACTTACCAATAAAACTGCAACACAGAAAGTTCTTGGCAATATTTCATCGTCACAGGATACTTCAGTTCACTTGCCTACCTTTCGGCCTAGCGACAGCTCTCATTACATTTGCAAGAGTGTCAAACTGGCTGGCAGGCCAGCTCAGAGAGAGAGGAATAAGACTAATAGTTTACCTCGACGACTTTCTCTTGGCCAATCAACACCCGAACGAATTAGAGAAAGATATCCAATTCACAGTCAGGTTTTTGCAGGATCTCGGATGGATATTAAATATGAAAAAATCTCTGAATCCACCAACTCGTTGCCTAGAATACTTGGGATTAATGTGGGATACTCAGAACAACAAAACATTTTTACCCGACAGAAAGATCGCGTTTTTAAAGAAGGATCTAGAGCAAATAACAAGGTCGGGAACCTGGAGTTAGGTCAGCGGAAAAAGACTTGTCGGAAAGTTAGCTTTTGCATCTTTCACAGTTCCTCTAGGAAGACTACATTCGAGACATCTGCAACGTGCAGCAAGAAACTTACCCCAACATCAAAAGAACCACAAATATCTTATCCCGCCGAAAGCACTCCAGGAGTGCGTTTGATGGTTGGAAAACCTTCAGAAAGATCGACAAATCTTTGCCAGCGTCGAAACGATATTTGTGACAACAGATGCTTCAGACACGGGTTGGGGTGCCCAGGTCAACAAAAGACTCCTCAGCGGACTTTGGAAGACCAATCAAACTCTGTGGCATATAAATCGCAAGGAGCTATACGCAATTTATCAAGCAGTACTTTTGACGCTAACTCAATTAAGGGGGAAACGCGTAGTAATTCAATCGGACAACAAAACAGCGGTTTCCTACATACGGAATCAAGGTGGAACCAAATCCGTTCTACTGACAGAACTAGTGTCAAAGATTCTGGAACTCGCCTACGAGAACGAAATCGAAATTTTTGCTTATTACATACCGGGAGTCTTCAACGAGATGGCAGACAGCCTTTCTCGTCAGAAGCACCTGGCGGATTGGCATCTCTCGAACAAAGTGACGGACCTACTATTCAAGAAATGGGGAACTCCTCAGGTCGACCTCTTTGCCACTGCCTTCTCGAAAGTTGTACCGATTTATGTATCTCGAGACACAACAGACAAATGTGCTCTTTTTATAGATGCTTTCAGCAGAATCTGGGACTTCGATCTAGCTTGGATTTTCCCACCACCAGGACTGATGCCTCGTATGCTGGCACACTTGAACAAAGCAAGGGGTACTTACATCTTAGTTGCGCCAAGATGGGAACGAGTTTTTTGGAGGGCGGATCTGAGACGAAGAGCACTGGACCGTCCGATTTGCATTCGAAATTTACAGCATCATCTATCGGACGCGACACAGAACGTACCTCTCCCGGACGCGCGAAATCTACGCTTGGAGGCCTGGTTGATACGGGGTGGTCAGAAATCACATCTTCATGGGCCCAAGAAGACGTTGAATTACTCAAAGGATCTTGGAGAAAGTCTTCTTTAAAAACGTACGCCGCATCATGGAAAGCTTGGGTAACGAGATGTAATAAAATGAACCTGGATCCGAAGAAACCTGATCCAGCTGATGTAGCCCAATATCTTAGTTTTTTACATAGAGTAAAACACTTCGCACCTAGAACAATAAAATTACACAAGTCTGTTATAGCTACTATGGGTGATCCCTTAAGAAGGGAAGAAATTTCCAGTCACCCTTTGGTGAAACATATCATTCGAGCAATAGAGAATTCTCATCCTTCATCGTCGAAGAAATGTATCTGGGATATCGAACAGCTGATTGCTTGGATGAAAACCTCAGTTATTAATGAAGATAGTCTATTTGAAGTATCCCGCCATGTGGCACTGCATCTTTTGCTGGCGTCGGGTAGAAGAATACACGATCTTACTCTTCTAAGGATTGATGATGATCATCTAAAGCTGAGTGAGGATTCCGTTACCTTTTGGCCTGTATATGGTTCAAAAACAGATAAGATTAATCATCAACAATCAGGTTGGCATTTATCTAAAGGTTCGATTAAGTCTCTAGATCCCATATATTGGACGAAAAGACTGATTGATTTGTCAGCCTCTAGAAGACAGGCAAGAAACAAATTGACATCTTTGTTTGTATCTACACGCGGAATTGTAAAGTCTGCAACTAGAGCCACAATTGCAGGATGGGTAAAATCTGCTTTAAAGCATCTTGGTATTGATTTTTCGCCTGGAAGTATAAGATCTGCCGTAGCCTCCTCAAGGCAGGAGAACAATGTTCCTTTAGATATAATCATTAAAAATGGAAATTGGAAATCTGATAAAAATGTATTTAAGTTCTACTTTAAAGAGATAATTAAAAAGACATCTGGTGCTCATCCAGTTAATGACTTAGTTTGTTCTAATTTTAAGGCTATCTAGATTGTTTTAATGTCTACATTTTTTTTAATAATAAAAAGGCAGTTGATTTGCATACACGTTTATTTTATTTTAAAACTATATATTATTCACAGTACGCTAATCCTGCGTCGTCAGAAACTAAAAAACTCTCATTATGGTCAAGCCGACGGCACAGACCATGAAATAAGGAACGTTTTCCCCCCAAAGGGAAGAAAACGATATATTTCATGTCTTGCCTAGGCTTGACCAGGATAAGCTCTTGACGACTAGTGAGAGGTACTGAGAACGCGGGCGCCGTCGCTTCACCGCCCTGCCTCCCGCGGAGGGAGAAGCGCCCACGACAGCGCTACCTAGACGAACGCAAGCATTTATTTGAATGTATGGGTATTATATGGATAGATACAGTAAGTGTTATCTCATTATGGTCAAGCCTAGGCAAGACATGAAATATATCGTTTTCTTCCCTTTGGGGGGAAAACGTTCCTTATTATTTTGCTTACTAGGTGACCTCGATCACTGATCATATAATGTAACTTTAATGTTGGACGAAATAAATTATTTATTATTATTATTATTAAGTTCGCCATATGTACTACTTTGTGCATGAAAGTGTAAATAAATAAATATATTCTATAATTATATAATAACCCTTTTTAAAAAGGTTTTGTTTAATAAAAAATTTACAACAGTTTCATAGACAGGCTTCGAATATTTTCCAGGCCTTAGTTAATTATACCTAGGTGTGTTAATGTTTATATAGTTTACTTATCTGTATAACGTTAGTGTATAATAAAGAAATATTAAAAATTTATATTAAAAATATTAAATATTAAAAATAGTGAAAATTAAATAAAAAATAGTGGTATGCTGTGAATAAATAAACCGCAACAGCCGTTAGCGTTTCAATAATCATTTTAATAAATTCGTCCGCACATTGGCCTGAACCGAAGCAAACTGAACGACCTTCCAACGTGTGGACGCGATCACAAATTCTTGGCCAATATCACTGCCAACACATTCGCCACTATGTTGGCCAACGTGAAGAGCCGCCATAAGACGAATGAGTGAATATGTTCGTGCAGCGCTGGACGTGCAGGACTGCGGGCTGTCGGAGCAGAGCGCGGCGGGAGCGCTGCGCACGCTGCAGTCCAACAGCACGCTGGCCGTGCTGGACCTGCGCCGCAACGCGCACGTCGGCCCCGACTCGCTCGCGCGCCTGCGCGCCGCCTTGCGCAACGAGCGCGCCATCGACGCACAGGTTGGCCCTTTTGACATCACTACGTTTTACGTGGTAGACCCATGCTGTTGCTATATATTGTGGTTGCAGCACGAATGGATCGGCTCGACGGGGGTAGCACCACACTCTCACAGAATACCAGCGTAAAATAGCAGCTCAATGCCGCTGTGTTTCGTATGGTGAGTGTAGAGAAACGGAGACCCTTTTTACTGGAAATGAGGCATTCCATCTCAGTCCTCAGGGGTGGCGGCGCATCTGCATTTTGATTCTTTATTGAGGACTGGTAAGGTGGACTGTGTGCTCGTTTGTCACCATATCCTATAAAAAAAAACATTGTACTTCCCCGGTCGAGCCGATCCATTTGTGCTACAACTATAGTATAGCTACAGCGTGGCCGTGCCACGTTTAAAATGTAGGGTTATTCAATCCTTTTTATACAATTTTTTCTACATTCCAAGTTAATTCTTTTTCCTTTTTAATACTTTGCTTAGACTTGGATTTTGCTCTATTTCGATTTTTTAACTTGACCGCTGCATTGATTTATTAGAAGTGTGTGTTACTTGAAATCTTAAAATCTAAGTATAATACTAAACTGTACTTTACTCTCTTTGTTTCCAGTACTCATGGCTATCTAGCACGTCGAGTGATGGAAGACTAGTTAAAACAGTAGTAAATAAGTAAGTTTTACAGAATGACGAATTTCATATTGATTCGCTTCTTATTCCTTGTATTTATTATTCCTTGTGTTTTTAACTAAAAACTTATCATCCTGTCATTATTAAAGTCTATCTTGAGTCGATTGTGAGCCCCCATATACAGCCACAAAGTGTGACCCCCTGACCCACCTCAACCATTAAATTCTTGCATGTCTTTAAATTATTAATATTAGCAAATACGTCAATACCAAAGTTAAAGAAAAAGTTTTGTTTATTATGGGATTTTTATTTTTTAGACACACGTATAACTTTAAAAGTTTATATTATTTAAGATTTTGCGGTTGTACTAGCGATGTCTTCATCATCAAAATTACAGCTCTTCAGAAGTCTATTTAACGTAGGGCTCTCCCAGTAAATACCACAAAATATGGTCCTGGGCTACCTGTAACTATGGGCTTCCTGCAGGTCCAGGTTCCGGCATGCTTTGTGCCGCAATTGGTCCGTTGGGTTATGTAGGTTACTCTGGTTCTACTGCAGATACCCTCATTTCGAATTATATCACGTAGAGAAACTCCGAGCATAACCCTCTCCATAGCCTGCTGAGCGACCTTGACCTTCCTCATACATCCAGCGGTATACTGCGGCTAGCGATATACTGTACAATACAAATAACTAAAAATTAAAAAAAATTGCACAACCGACTTCAATACAAATTATTAAGAATAACTCAAAAATGTTGGTCAGACCTTGATCAAATTCATATGGGAATAATGAAAAGTACCAGCTTTCAAGTAAAAAGAGAATCATCGTAATCGGTTGACCCAGTAAAAAGTTATGAGGTAACACACATAAGAAAACATACAGTCGAATTGAGTACCGGCTCCTTTTTGAAGTCGGCAGACAACAAACAAAAACATGAAGATATGGATGTTGATTTCGCTGCCATGGCAGTTAAAAGCAGTTAACAAAATGTTTTAGTCTTTGCCATATTTTATATATCTTTTTCTTTATTATCATCGATCTATGAAAGTCTGAAGAATATTTTCGTTAACCGGCGTGTTAAGGTGTAGGTGGCCCGCGAAATTCAAAATTTCTTACGTTTTTTGGAATTTGCAGGTCAGGGTCACATTGAATGTTTAACAAAATATGATTCGCGACCGTAACTAGTATGTGTTTACAGTTTACACAATTATTATCATTAAAATCACCATTACAACCCTCAAGTTCATATAATCCCTATGAATTAGTTTTTCTGGAAATAGCCATACAATGGAATTATACGAACTTAGAGGGTTGTATTGTGGATTATAATGCTCATAATTCTGTAAATACGTAGTCGTTACGGTCGCGAATCATATTTTACTAAATATACAACCTGACACTGACCTACAAATTGCAAAAACCGTTAGAGAATTAGAATTTCGCGGGTTACCCTGGCGTTTTCACCTTTAGCAGGCAAATTGACGATCGCAGTACCTAAATGTTTTACAACATTTGATTTTTCCCATCGCCGCAGTTTACTATACTGCCATCTACTGGAATCATCAGGTAATAACGTCTTCCTGACATAACCCATAATCGCCGCTTACGATGCCTAACACTAAGGATAAGGGGAGTAACCGTTACAGCCTATTAAAGTACATTGCTGAACGTAGCCCATAGATTGCTTCATAGGATATTGGCCATTGTTGTCACTTGACAAGCGGATTGGCAACCGCATTTTTTTATTTTTAGTCGTTATTACGAAGACGCTGCTGCCCATTTCCTAATTTGTATCCCTCTGTCACCTCCTACGACACCCATGGGATGATGCGGGGTAGTGAATATTTTTACACCGCTACTTCACAGTAAGATAAGAGCTGATCGATTATATTAAAATGCCATCATACCGCACGTAGAAATAAAAAGTCACGACTAAGGGTATCTTATGCAAAGTTGAATTACATAAACATTTTTAAAACTTAAATATTCGTATATTAAAATGATAGGTTTGAATTACACACCTTTAATATTGAACAAAAAATCATGAAATCTGTGTATTATAGGAATGGAATGGTGAAAGAAAGAGCCGCGTCCAACGTAAGGGGGATTCCCAATAAGTACAGTAATAAGACAAATGTGACAAAGAAGGAGAAGTAAGTATATACGAGTGTAAATCGTATAAAAGTTAAGTTGCAGCAGTTATAATACGACCGCCTTGCAAAATTTGCTGAGAGTGTTATAGAAAAATTCTTCAGCCGTGTTATTCCAATGCGTGTTGGCGGACTTCTCATGTACTCACAATATTTTATTCCTCGGTCATGCAGGTTTCCTCACTATGTCTTCCTTCTCTGACAAGCACAAGTAAATTAGCACTTAAAGCAAACAATTTTTTTTTTGGTTCCGATAAGAATCGAACCTGGGTTTTTTATTGGCAACAATGGGGTGGGGAATAACAGCGTCTGAAGCTCGCTTTTCACTATGGGATCCCGCGATTGACTTTCACACTGTGTGATATATCTTTTAACCAGTGTGCGTTCCTCATGGGATTACATTGACACTACACTCGTCGTTTACAAACAAAATTGTCTTTCAAACAGAATGGATATTGTTTTACTTGATAGCCTCAGTCATCAGAGGGAGATGATGCAGAATTTGGTTTATGTGTGTTACATTTAAGTGAAAACAGGGAGCGTTGGCACTGGATATCAAATCATATAAAGTTTAGAGAGGAATACACGTAATGAAAGACACGAAATTGAGGACGTAGCGGCGGCGCGGAACGGTGTGCGGGGTACATGGGGCGAAACATTATATGAAAATATCACTCGGTCGATCGAAATAATATTTATAGTATGAGACACAGAGTACTTTTTATATAGGAAATGGTATGAGATGTAATATATATTACATCTCAGTGTAAAAAGTACGGTGAGCGATATTAATTTATATCTCGAGATATAATACATATTACAGTTTATTTAAATAATTTTTTGCATGTAAACCTATAAAATATTTGCACACCATATGTAATGATAGAATGTAAATGGTCAATTTGATATAATTTAAGATCATTCTTTATTGTACACCTACATTCTGGCAAATAAATTAAATTAAAAAAAATATATCCCATAGTGAAAAGCGGGCTTGATTGTCCGATCGTGGAAGGGAAAAGGGGAGGAATTAAGTTATGCAATTTCTTCGCGCCCTGTCTGAAATGTATCCTGATTCCTGATAGAACACCGATATGCCTACTTACGGCAAGTGCATAGCTTACGACCTACCCCGGCTCTACCAATTTCAGCATAATTTTGACCGCTTTTTTCGAGCAATTAATCCAGTTTACTGCTGGACGTCTATTCGTTACTTGTTTTTAATTTTGCCAGTGACGTCATTATATCGCTTTAGTAACGCCACCGCATGGTGAAATGATAAAACACTCATGTTAAAATTAAAAAAATTGTCATTGCATAATTGCAATTTCAAATTATTTAATTGACGTAAAAAATGTTTGACTATTTTGTTTTTTTTTTTTTTTATATAGCATTAGGGTGACAAACTAGCACACAATCCACCTGATGGTAAGTTGTTGCTGTGACCCATAGACAATTACATCTATCCTCATTTGCGAATTAAAATGCAGATGCGTTGTTAGTCGTGAGTACTAAGATGGGAAACCTCTTTTAAACGTAAAAAGGGTCTCCGGTTCTCTACACTCACCATACGTAACAAAGCAGCATTAAGCTGCTATTTTACGCTGGTATTCTGTGAGTGCGGGGTCCTTCCCCGGTCGAAGCGACCCAATAGAGCTACAATTATACAATTAATATAGCTACAGCATGGCTCTAGCACGTATAGTGCCACCAACTTATCTGTGAACTGACAGCTTGGCGCTTCTGTGTTGAAGTGTTGCCAGTTCGGGAATATTCCCATCTAAGGGTCTTATATTTCTACATAGAGTCCACATACTAGGGTAATAAATTAGTCACGGAATAAAAAGACTAGAACACAGATTTAACAGATATATGTCCAAGAACAAGAATAAACAAAAATATCATAATTAAACAATTTAAACTTTAATTAAATAATATGCCTTTTTTTACCTGGCGTTGTAATTTGCGTTCCTGTGGTTTATGCGGTTTTTTTGTTCTTTAACTATTTTGGAAATGAATCCTTGACTAACATCTGAAAAAGAAATGAATTGCATTAACCAATCCATTTATCGGAAATACGAAAGGAAGGAACAAAAATTAGCAATACTGACCTGTAGCAGCTGTAGCAGCAGATATTCTTTTATAGACCTGATTGAAAGGCATTATCGGTGCTTGCCCTAGAGCTTCTTGCTCACAAAAGTTTAATACTTTTAAAATAATGTTTCGGGCAACACTTTTAATGGTTTTCGGCATTTTTTATTTTTCTATAAACTCTCAAAACAATGACGTATCGAGTAACATATGATTAAATGGCGGCTGTAGTTCACAATTTTGCCGCAGTTGTCAGTTCACAGATAAGTTGGTGGGACTATACACACCACACGTATGACACATTGTGATCCGATATAGAAAACACAAAAGTATAGCATAATTGTGATTGGTTCACAGCCTTAAAGGATATAATAACGTCACAACCAATCCCAAGTCGATTTTTTTTTTCATTCAAAAATTTTACTACTTTTTATAAATAATTACTAAAAAAATTGAATAGTTAATAAAAAAAATATTTAAATATACTTTAAATGAATTATTCAGTCATATAAATTTGTGGCAAAAAAAAAATGCAAGTTCTGTATTTAAATCAATATTTAATTTGCTGGTAGTGTTTGTCGATATCTATGTTAATATATTACCCTCTTTAATTCGAAAAGAAATTATGCGGAAATTCTAGAAGATCAGCTGCAAGAGGAGATATCGCATCGACAACAACTTGAAGAGTTGAACCTCCAACTGATTGACCAGATGAAGCAACTCAAGCAGCAGCAAATGCGTTTGTGGGCCAATGCTGCCAACTCTTCAGGTGAGTATTTTTTTACCTGATAAAATGTGGGTGATAAAATGTACTTATCTGATAAAATTGTTATAGTTTTTAACCCTTCAAGTAAAAGCGATGATATGACGTCAGGCAGGTTATAGGTACCGTAGACACGCAAAATTATTATTACGCTTTAAAGTTACAGCATGGTGCTCATTTTTTTATAGAATAAGGGGATGACAAATGAGCATACAGTCCACCTGATGGTATCTGGATGCTGTGGCCCATAGCCATCTATATCTATCGTCGATTTAGAATCAAAATGCATGCGTTATCACCCCTGAGAACTAAGATGGAATGCCTCGTTTCCAGTAAAAAGGATCTCCGGTTCTTTACACTCATCATACACTTCAAAAACACAGCTGCCAGCGTAAAACTGGTGTCCTGTGAGAGCGTCGTCCTTCCCCGGTCGAGCCGACCCATTCGTGCTACAACCATAATATACATGGTTCACGCCTTGGACAAATGATCACACTGGACACGTTAATCCACTCACGTATTATTTCCGGGCATTTTGGAAATATAAAAATTATAGTTACTTATTACAATATTTTAATGGTAACTAAAATATTATCGGAAAAGCTTAATTAGTTGGTATAGGTACATCACTAGCTAACTTGAAGAAAAACTAATGATTTTACATTTAATTTTTATCATGTATGATTTAGAACGAATAAAATGTGATTACTACAAGTTGTTATGGTAAAAAACTCATTCGTTTAGCATTCAAAATGATACAAAATGTTGTCGAAGACTTACGTATTAAATCCCCCCCTCCCAGCTCTAGGCGCCTCACTCCCAAAAGCAGGGGCTTCAGGGTGCCTCGGGACTGCAGTCGCTCGTGCTTCGTGCCGTCCATAGATCTATACTAATATAATAAAGCGGAAGAGTTCTTTTGTTTTTTTGTTTGTTTAAACGCGCTGATCTCTAGAACTACCTGTCCGATTTGAAAAATTCTTTTTGTATATTATAGCCAGATTCATGTGGAATAGTATAGGCTATCTAGCATTAAGCTATATTACTCAGCAAGCCTTAAATATGGATATTGGTTAAGCAAGTCAGAAGAAAAAGCACTCCCGAAATTATTTATCCACGTACGCTGGTGTTATCGTTAGGGATACGTAAATACAATGTTTTAGAAAAATATAGACTTTTACTCCGTCTAAAAAAAGTCCGTGATACCATATGTCTATTTCTTATACATAAGCCATAATTTGGGATTTTCTGACAAAAAAATATTGAAAATTTAAAAGTGATTCATGAGCGTTATTATTAGGCATGGCCTATTTATCCTTATGAACGAAAGTTACTTCATCATCAAGACAATTTTATGAAGATAAACTTTGTTCTTTATACCATGTTATTTGGACGCATAGTTTAAGAGATAATGTAAAATTAAAATAATTCAATACTTGGCTGGGCGCGCGAACGACGCTTAAACCCTAGCCGTTATAAAATGCTTGAACTAGGTTATGTCGCGCACCTCGGACACGTGATGACGCGGGTGAAACCGCGGGGCACAGCTAGTTACTGTATATATTGATGCCGACTCACCACTGGCAGAATCGTTACACTCGATAACTCGTAGGTCCTTACGAGTCTATTTCGATGAAGCTAGAAAGGCCGCAGGGCCAACAGCATACACATTCCAAAAAAAATTTACTCCTCCTTTTGTTGTTCTTGTCATACAACACACAACTAAACACGACATTTTTTTAAACAAATTTCAGCTAAACGATGAGATTTCTTACGATTTTCGTAATTCACCGCAATGTTTTGACCGACTTGACAACAGTCATGAACGCGTTCAGATTTATTAATTAGACAATCTCTGCTATTTTATGTGTTTTGCTTGTATTGTGTTTGTATATTATATTTGTATTTAATTGTACATGTAAATCTATATCAGATTGTCGATTTAAAATGAAATCGCATTTTATTAATATGCTGAAATTATTTAATCGGTAATCTAGATAACATAGTCACTTTTCCAGTCACGCACACTAATGCATATAATATACAAATTCCAAACTAACCAAAATCGGACACGTTAAAAACCAAAAGATTCCATTATGATAATTTGCCCAAGGTTCACGCAGGTACAAACAAGGCCAAAAGTACATAGCAAATTCGTCTACTGCACATAACGAACTTACTCTCCAGTACTTACATGTTCTCGTTCTATTTAGTGTACGTAAGTTACGTACATCAAATAGAGGAAGAACATGGTTTTCACCGCGATTGGGCAATGCCTGTCACTGGATATATTATACGGCGTGGGAGACTCCATTGGTTTGTTTGTACTAAAGAGTACTTTTATAACATAATACATCGTTTTTAATCTGTGATTTATACCTTGCGCAATTATACGTCTCGTGTTCACAACGGACAAGTAGCTTTGTTAGGTTCCCTTTTCGTCTAAGAATCTGTCTTGGTTGGGAACACTCTCGAACCTATTTCCACCTCCAAGCAGCAGTGAACTAACCTGCCACGTTTCAGTCTAAAAGGTATAAGAGTAAGTTACTTCTTCACCCTTCAATAGTCGCTCTTCACGGTACAGGTTCGGAACAATCCTTGGTGCCCAGTTCGCTGTCGGGCGAGCGCTCGAGCAGCTCTGGTTCCTCTCGGTCCGTGCCCATCGAGCAGAGCACGCTCTCCTACATACAGCAGGCCTTCAGGGACATCTATGCTTTCATTAAGGACAATCAATGTCACGGGTAAGTACACTTTATGGACAAACAGCAGACGTCACTCACACACAAGTGACATACACACTATTTAGGAGCTATAAAATTTTGAAAGGAACCTTGTGGTTTCACGTCGATTTTCAATAATGTGAATAGCACATTGCCCGTCATCTTCCCGTACGGATAGGCAAATGGGAAGGGATATCCTTCAGACAATATTTAGACCATCCAAAGGATAAATGACACCGCATAATATTGTGTGTTGTAGTAACTGTAGAGTTACATATATATTTTGTCTGAAATATAAATTACCTGTAGAAATTCTGCTTTACAATACAATTATAGGCAATGCGTCCAAGAAAAACCAGAACAAATAATAGCAGAAGTAACGGAGACGGAGGAAACACATCGCAGCGAGGTACACGTCAGCATGTTACCAAAGAAAGCGCAGAGCACACATTTGAAGTTGATCGAGAACACGAGGACTCAGAAAATGACAAAGTCTGCGCATTTGCTGGGCGACGTGCAACATATGAGAGAGAATTTGGAAATGGTATGATATTTTAATGGTTTTTATTCTTTACTGAATCTGATTAATTTTATACTTAATTTGGGATACCAGCGAATTTACACCAACGAGATTTGATATCCAATTAGGATTTTTATTTATTAAAGAAATTAATGTTAAATATTTTTTAGTTATCCTTTTCAAAAATATTTCACATATTAAATTATTATTAATTATTTCCCTGTACGAAGAACACCTTATCGGTCTAGGTCCATTTAATTTAAATCCCCCACTGAATTCGCCTAAAACTTATATGTGTAATCGAACAGCTAAAATTAGGCCAAATTTAGAAAAAGGCATTAAGTAGTTCGCAGTAGGTTTAAGTATATTTTGTCGGTAAGCTTGGCTAATGTGATAATTTTAGGCTTTTGTAAAAATAGTGTCGGACTACTAACTGAATACGTAATATCTTAACAGATTTATACCGTTTTGCAGAATCCAGATATGTTTGAGAGACAAATGGGAGATACGCGGGATACACATGATAGCGAACTGAGTGTGTTAGATGAACTTGTTACAGCACAATGCAAGAGTAAAAAGGTAAGTAATAATAATAATTTAAATTTTATAATCGTATCCGCGCTTTGCATCTAGTGTACCTACTCGGTATATCTATTTGTTTACATGCGATTTTGGTTCGAATTGAGTGAACTTTTACCAACTTGGTTCGCCAATAATACCGTTAATGCTCAGCTATTATAAATGGCTAGTACATTTTTAACACACACAAATCTTCCTGGACGGTGGCAGATAATAATTAATAGGAGTTAAAACCACAAATTAGTTCAGTGGTTCCTGTGATGTCACCGTTACCAGGCAGAGTCGCTATACTAGAGCGCCATGCGTAAACTGGAAAACTGTAACCTCCTACTACTGCCGTCCGATCTCTAGTGCGTAGCGTGGACTATGAAGATCGGCAAACTACCTGTGAGTGTCACGCTTGGCTGCTTAATTGGCGATCACAGCAACGCTTGCCGCAACCATGGCACTAATGCCAGTATTCGGTCTAGGTATTTCATTAGTAAAAACATCTTTATATCAATAAAGCTTTGTTCAAACTGAGGCGAATCCCGCGCAAGACGCGGGACGCAACTCGCTCGCGCCGATAGCATCAGGTGACTTATATGGACGTGCTCACATTGGTGCACGTGCTGCAGCGAAATATACGCGGGATAGTGGCTGATTTTTCGAAATGCCGTTGAAGCTTAAATTTCATATAGCTTAAATTTATATAGCATTTTTTTGGCATACCAAAATATATATAAAATATTTTTTATCTTTTTGTAATGTGGGTATCAAAGTGTGAAAACTGTCTAAATTCTATACGTTGAGCCCATGAACCCATTTTCTTCTTTTCTTCCTCACATCTAGAGATTCTTCTTCAGTTAATGTTAATAACAACAAAACCTCAGTTTCAATATCCAAAAACAATGACGTGCTGGATCCGCCTCAGTTTGGGGGCTAAGCGTGCGAGCGAATTGCGCAGATTCGCGTCCCCGCGTCCCGCGCGGAATTCGCCTTGGTTTGAACGAAGCTTAACCGTTTGTCAAGACAGTGAAAAAAATATTATTACGGATTCTCTTAACCGCCAAAACTAAGTACTTGTAACGTGTATGTTGGTATTTGTTGTAAATATACATTTTTCTTTCTTTCTTTCAAAATGTATTTTTGTAAGTTTAAACTTTTATGTCAGACGTAAATTAATAATACCTATGCCGAGGCAGCTTAGTTAAAGGTGCGAGACGTCTGGCACCACGATCGTCAATTCGCTTGCCCAGCGTGACGATTAACGCATGTCCTCTAAACAATCGAAGACACCCATGGGTTCAACGGGCCGTAAAGGAAGGAGATAAAAATCTCACCGTTACCGTTACAGCCAACAGTGGTAGAGCCACGTGGCGGCTTTTGCTGTCGTACGGATGGGCGGGCTCGAACCGGGGTGAAGTAGAGGTTTACCTCTGCGTTTCGCTTGTTGAGTGCAGGTGGCCGGAGGCCCTTTTTACTGAAAATGAGGCATTCCATCTTAGTCCTCACGGGTGACAACGCATCTGCATTTTGATTTGTAATAGAGGATAGATGTAGATGTCTATGGGCCGCAGCAACCACTTACCATCAGGTGGACTGTGTGCTAGTTTGTCACCCCTATCCTATATAAAAAAAAAAGCCTATTAAAGTCCACTGCTGAACATAGACATCTACATCGATCATCGTTTGCGAATTAAAATGCAAATACGTTGTCAGCCGTGAGAACTAAGACAGAATGCTTGTTCCAGTAAAAAGGGTCTCCAGTTTTCTACACTCACCATACGAAACACAGCAGTGTTAAGCTGCTATTTTACGCTGGTATTCTGTGAGAGCATGGTCCTTCCCCGGTCGAGCCGACCCTTTTGTGCTACAACTATACTATTAATATAACTGCAGCATGGCTCTACCACGTAAAAACGGTAAAACTCTTAATAAAATTTATAAATGTACTATCACATTAAGGGCAGTACAAACGAGCGCAGTCCGTGCAGCAGCGTGGTGAGCGACTCGTCCGACACGCTCGTGTGCTCGCCGGCGCCAAATCCGCGCGATGCCTTTGCCTCTTCCGATGACGACGACGGCAGCGACTGACGTTTTGTTACACGTATATACACGGATTTTATATCAAGATTAAACAGATTTTATCAAATGTGTTGTTTTATTTTTACCGTTAGTAGGGTTAACCCACCGTTTTTTGCTTCAGTTCAGTTCAGTGGTGGATCTTAGCAATTCATTGGCCACTCCGTGGACTCTGTTTAAGGCGCAGGTTGAGCAAAATGTCGCGCTAGTCGTTATTTGTGTTGTTTTTAGGAGCTATCTACTTTTTATTTAAAAGATATATCAACAAATAAAAAACACATTATATTTCTACATAATCTTGATTCCATAAAAGCTATATCCAATTTTTTTTTAAACGAATAAATATTAATATAATCTCCTTACAACGAAACCACATAAATGTGAAATTATTATTGATAACATGCATCTCCTCGTAAAGTAAGTATTATTATATTTTGCGATTTACACCAATGGATAGGCAATTTATTAATGAACATTTCTATAGTAAATTTTTTTTCAAAAGACCAAAATTTTATTTTATTAAGAATTTATTTTAAAATCTGGGCATATTCACTGCTCACGGGCTTGCTGAAGTCAGTGAGCCCTGAGCTCTTCGACGCGAAGCCCGTGTCGTTAGAGCGTCGACCAGCACATACACTCACGTCATATTAGTCGATAATAATATTACTTATTAGGTTATTTATAGGTAGTATTATTTGTTTGTTTTGGGTATAATTTTTCGTATTAGTTATACATATATTTGTTGTGTTTTTTACTGCACGATGAGGCTTTTTGCGTGTATTTTCTTTAAAGTAAATGCAAATAAAAAAATGAAGCACCATTAGCATGTAAGGTTCGAATCCATAATTAAAATTTCGACAAATATTATAATTTACACTATAAAAGACTAATTCAATATTATCACCCAACCACAATATCTTATTAGGTATAGTACCGCCTCGTTGGTCTAGTGGTTGTAGTAGTGCGAGTGCTGATCATGAGGTCTCGGTTTCGAATCCCGGGTCTTGTTAAAAAGTCAGTTATGAGTTTTTGGCCCGTTTTTGTTTTTATTTATTGCTTGTGTTTTCTTCTTTTTCAAAAAAAAAATTGAGTACATAAGATGTTCTATACGCCGAATGTCAGAGAGAAAAGCTAGTACATCTTTTGCTAAACTTTAAAATCTAAAACCAATTTTAAAACAGACGAATTGATCATAACTCCCTTAGCTATAAAATAAGTTATGATCTAATTAATGGTATTTATTCCAGTTTATGGCAGCTCTGATTTATATTACGTGGCTGAAATTAGGTACATCTTATTAGGTACGTCAAACCAAATAACAGCCGGGCGGCTGACATTATGCACTCCATACATTTCTTATATTATCTAATTACAGTCCCATTAATTTCCACTAAAAGAAAATAAATAAGTTGTAAATTCAAACAAAAATAACTGCATTACTATGTCTATAGTCATATTCATACAAATCAAAAAGCCTATATATGAGATAATGTAAAGTAAGCATAATTTTACCGGGATCATAACTTTCAAATAATTAGGAAAATGATCGTTTTTCGTTGCGTACCCGTTTTGATTTTAACACTGTTAGGTTTAAAACTGCGAGGTAATATTTGAATAAATATAGTTTCCTCTAGGTACAAAGAATTTTTTAGATGAAAATATTTGTAGTTAAGACTACTAGAAATCTTATTTATGGAGTAAAAAGGCGAAAAGACTGCAATTAGGGGCATGACTGGTATTAGGGGCTTCTACCCTAATTCGGTAAAAAGTATCTAAGTAGGTATTAATATACCTACTTTTTACTATAAACTAAATTTTTTTTAAACTAAATTTAACTAAAAAAAACTAAAGTGACCATTTATTTTTTAACTCAAAACAGGACATGGGTTTATTTACACTCTAAAAAGTATAACTTTACACAATTAGTGTTCAATATAAAATTATATTCGGTATAGACGGTAATTATTAAATGCAACATATTTTTTTTAATTATTAATTACATTTGTCAGTGGATTAAATTTGCTTTAATAAAGTTGGTGATAATTTTAAATAAGAATAAAATTCTGCTTAAGTTTTTTTATTGTTACCTTTGTTATCAACATCGCCTTTAGAACTGGAACCGTAAGTGTTTCTTTCAGACGTCCACAATTTGTTCAAAATAAAAAAAATATTCTTTCTACTGGAGCATTTGTACCAGGGAGACATAAAATATATTCGATTAAAAAAAAATATGTTGAAGATTGTTGACTTTGAATACTTCCATCCAACGAGTTACGGGACAATTTTGTGTCCCGGAGCTTTGTTTGGGGACAATGGGACAGGTGACTGAGAAAAGGGACAGTCCCGTTCAAAACGGGACGTATGGTCACTTTAGCTATAAACCGGCGACGGCTCCGTGGCGCACTGGCTTAGCAATCAGTTGCTGCACTGGGGGCCGCGGGTTCGAATCCCGCACGGAACAAGTATTTGTATGGCCTACAAATAATTGTTCCGGGTCTGGATGTTTGTCCTTGTGCAATTTATGTTTGTAAACTGCCTCCACGACTCTCATTCTATATTACTCTCACTCTGCGAAACATCCTATTTATTTATTTATTCTTTATTGCACCAAATATTTGTACAAAAGGCGAGCTATCTATCTATTTACCTATAGTGAGTAGGTATCTTTTAAACTCACAATTTTCAATGCTTCATTTTTAATATATAATTAATTATAAAATTTCATAATTAGATAATATTATATGAGAATACATAACTCTAATATAATGCAACTAATATACCGAATAAAAAATTTGGGATACATTTATCGTTGTACGCTGTGTGTATTTCCATAAAATAGTTTATTGATGTTGAAAAAATACTACGTTCTTACAGTAGGTGGCGCCTTACATATTTCTTACGTGATATTATATTGTAGCGAGTCGGCGCGGCACACCAAATGCTCAAGGTCGTTCGCATGGAGTAGCCCCTTAACCGCGCGGCGTGCACTCGATGGCCGTCTAGTTACATTAAAAAAAAAATCAAAATTGACATGGAACCACGGGTTAATAGACTTGATTTCATTTTTAGGGTTCCGTACCAAAAGTCTGTCAGTGGGCTGTATCTCATGATTCGTAATAGGTAGACAGTTGACATTTTCACAGAATGTGTATTTGTGTTGCCGTTATAACAACAAGTAATAAAAATTTTAAAAAAAATTATTTCCCTACTAGTACGTGTAGATTACGATGGTACGGAATCCTTCGGAATGCACGAGTCCGAATCGCACTTGCCCGGTTATTTAAGTTTTCTATAGCTTAAATTATATTATATTATATTTTTTAACGATCATATAAAGTACGATCGTATTTTAGAAAATGTATCTTCCTACTCGCACACGCTCATTATGGGCGACGTTAATACTTGTCTGCTTAAACAAGACTCTCGTTCATCCTCTCTTCGATCCATCGTTAATTCCACTAATCTCTCTATTTTACCTTTAAAGTCTACTCATCACTTCCTTAATGCTACTCCGTCATTGCTTGACGTTATTTTTGTGTCCTCTTCTGACTTCACTGCTAAGCATGGTCAGTTTCCAGCTGATGCCTTCTCTTACCACGAACTTATATTTCTCTCTTATAATGTCCGGCCACCTAAACATAAGTCTAAATTTTTTCTGCTACGCAGTTTCCGTGGTATGAATGTTGAAAATATCTGCAAAGATGCTTCCAACATTGATTGGTCAGTCGTTTTAAATGCAGACTCTATTGACGATAAAGTTGCAATATTTACAACTAAATTAACCTGTCTTTACGATAAACATGCACCAGTTCGCGTAATTAAAATGAGACATCTCCCTTCACCATGGCTGACTGATGAAATAAAAACCATTTTAAATAAAAAAGCTGCAGCCAAGACAAAATATAAATGTAAGCCTACATCTATAAACTGGGGAAAATATGTTACTATTCGAAATCACTGCAATGGGGTGGGTAGGGATGCTCAAAGCCACTATATCCATAAATCGGTACAAATTGGTGATGCAGCTAAAGTCTGGAGTTTTCTTAGATCAATGGGGGTTGGAAAGTCCCGTAATATTGTACTCTCTAAAGACTTAAATATTGATTTACTAAATCATCACTTCTCATCCTCCTCCAACTTAAATGGAGCTACAAAATTGAACACATTAAATTTTCTTTCATCGCTTCCAACTCCTGATCATTCATCTTTTGTCCTAAATCAATTCTCTGCTTGTGACATTAAGAAGAGTATTGTATCCATTACTTCGAATGCAATTGGCAGCGACTGTATCAGCCGTAATATGATTCTTCCGATTCTTGACATAATCATCAAAATACTTTGCCATATCCTCAACTCCTCCATTTCTTGTGCTGTTTTTCCATCAACTTAGAAAGACGCTCACATCACACCGTTGCCTAAAAAGCCCAACCCTACATCTTTTTCGGAATATCGTCCTATATATATAGTGCCATTCCTATCCAAAGTTCTCGAACGCTTGGTATATATAATCATCTCAGTGCTTTCATTCGCAATAATTCCCTTCTAAATCCTCTACAATCTGGTTTTTGTCCTAGGCATAGTACTGTCACAGCCTTAGTCAATATTACGGAAGATATAAGATCTGCCATGGAAAATAGCAAATTAACTATCCTTTCTCTGTTAGATTTTAGCAATGCCTTTAATTCAATTGATTTTTAAATTTTACTGGGTATTCTTGGTTATATTAACATATCTCCAACAGTGATTGATTGGTTTCAAAGTTACCTGTCTGGGCGCCGGCAATGTATTCGCATTGATGACACATTTTCTTCTTGGTGTGATACCATTGCTGGTGTCCCGCAGGGTGGCGTATTATCTCCTTTACTTTTTTCAATTTTTATTAATTCTATAGCTACTAAGATTACTTCTTCCTAACACCTATACGCAAATGATCTTCAAATATATACTCATGTTTCTCCTAGTGAACTAGCTGTAGCTATTTGTACTATAAATAGTGACCTTGAGCAAATATTAGAATGGGCAAAAACATATGGCTTAAAGATTAACCCTCTAAAGACTCAGGTAATTGTCATCGGAAGTTCGAATATGATTGGGAAATCAAGCCTTTCTCAAGCACCTCAAGTTGTTTTTGATGGAAATTTTATTCCTGTTAGTGAAAAAGTCAAAGACTTGGGAATTTATATTGACAGGAACCTATCATGGGGTCCTCAAATACAGGAAGTTAGTCGTAAACTCTTTGCAGCTGCTCGATCATTAAACAGATTAAGGAACTTTCTACCTACTGCCACTAAAATTGCGCTTGCACAATCTCTGCTTCTCCCAATTCTGGACTAAGCAGATGTCAGCTATCTTGATCTCACCGAAACGCAACTTGATAAACTTGAGCGTCTTCAAAATGTTTGTATAAGATTCATATTTGGTTTGCGCAAGTATGATCATGTTTCTTGCTTTCGTAATAAGCTCAAGTGGCTTCCTATTCGTCTTCGCCGGAATGCTCATATTCTGTCACTTCTTTACAATGTTCTATTTAATCCTTTCTACCCTTCTTATCTTAAGGATCGCTTTGAATTCCTTCACTATTCCCATTCGAAAGTTTTGAGATCATCAGAAAATTTTACATTAAAAATGCCTGCCCATAATACCAAATTTTTGGACAGGTCGTTTACTATCCAAGCAGTACGTCTATGGAATGCCCTATCTCTGTCAATGGGACGCGCCCAATATTTATCTGTTTTTCAGAAGCTTGTACGCAATCACTATCTTAACCTTTGAATTCGTGCCATCTATATATGTATGCATACGTATTTTATGTCTTTATTTGTTATTTATTTCTATATATTATAATTAAATCTTTATAAATATTGTTTCTGCATCACCAAACCACACGATTTTCTGCTTTTTGTAATCCTGTCCATCCAAAGGTTGTCTGGAAGAAATCGCTTTTAGCGATAAGACCACCCATTGTGTCACTATTTTTTTTTCTTTTTCTATCGTTTATGTATTGATTTGGTGTACAATAAAGAATTATCTATCTATCTAAAGTCATCTTGGTTAGCCTCACAGAACTTTAGCTATTTATTAAAAAAAACTAATCATTTAAATCGGTTACCAATTGACGAAAGATGTCGCCTAACATACATAGAAGTAAAACAAACATCTGGCCCTTTTTTGGAGTCGACCAAAAAGAAAAGTCTGTTTAATAGGTATATGGAAATTAAATTTTTATTTTCTATACATGTAACTAACAATAAAAACTAATTTTAACTAACTCAAGCTTTCTCATTTAATTCTACATTCTTTTGCTGTAGCTTGGCAATCAGCATCTTCTCTTTGGCTTCCATTCTAGCCTGTTTTTCCAACTTTCTTTGTTCCTTCTCACGTTTGGCCAACATCTCTTGGAATCGTTCATCACGTGGATCAAGAGTAAAACCGAAGTGCCTTCTTACCTCTTCAACAAGACGCTCCTTCTTCATCTGGAATTATAAGTTTTATTTTATACAGGAATTCGAATGACATAAAATTTTTTTGCAAATGGAAATACCATAGACTACTGTTAGATATTTAGGTGTAGAGGAATTTGTCAACTTTTTATCCAAATGCCAACCTCATTTGCATGCTGTGGCTGGTGCCTGACTGGCGGTGGAATATCAATTCAAAAACCCTGATTTTTACAAAATCGTGATCGGTAACAGCTAACAGCCTTATTGGTGGGGTCTCTCGGTCTCTCTGTCCAGTGTCGTAAAATTTAAAAAAAAATAAGTAATTCATGCCAGCTGATGCATTTAACCTTATGTCCAGAAACGTAATTTCAAAACTATGCTGATGAATCCCTCACCATACAAAAGAAATGATAGCACTTAACTTATTTGACTAATTGATTCTTCATCAGAATAACAGATAAGGTGAGCAGTAATAAAGAGGGGTCCCAGGGGTCGCATGGAGTATATTTTAGTCTACTAAAATATAGTTCCCTGAGAGGCCTAAGGAACTCCGATATTGGTTGTCATATGGTCAAACGACCACACACTTAGAAAGTCCTTTACCTATAGCGATAGGCTGTACGCTAGAAGGTTTACTAAAAGGTTACCGAGGCAAATACTGTCAAAGGCCTTCGAAACATCAAGGGAAACAGCAAGTATTTCCTCACTGTTATCTAGGGCCTTAGAAGATCCTTTTGGCTATTGGCTAGTTCCAGTTATATGAGAGCAGGAGTAAGCGAGTCAACACAGGAGGCAACTCCGGTGCACAAGCCTTTAGAACTGAAGCTGGTATACCATCCGATCCACTTTGTTAGTGATGCAGATACCGGCATCAACGTACCGCAGCCGGGTATGCTATTACCGCTATACAGACGCGAATTGCAAGCAAAAAGAAATGCAAACTTTCGTCTCGACCCCTTTGGTTAAGGACCAAAAAGGCACCGTCAGACGGTTTGGGAGAAAGCTTTGCGCCGATATGTTTAATGCAGTCGAAATTGGCTCTCCGTAATGACTTTCTACAAGACTTGGCGGCTTGATTAAAGGCTCTTTTCTTATAACTGACATCCGAAGCTTTACGGTCTTCCATGATAAATAAGTTATATGCTTGAGCTTTTCAGCTCGGGAACCTTCTGCGTTGTAACATTGGCAAGCTTTACTACCAATCAGTACGTCAGCAAAGGAGATAAAATACTTCATCGATTGACGCATCACAACGGGAATAGCACTCGATCACAACTTTGGTGCACTCGATCCCTAAAAAAGCTACCGATGAGACCCGTCCAACTACAGGCATCCATCACCTCCTTGTTCTCCAAAATAGTGGAAACCGTCATAAACTGCCAGCTCATGACCTTCGATCGGGTTTGGCACAAAGCGCTTCTTTCAGAGCTCCCTTCCTATGGGCTTTCTTACAGATCGGAGCATCAAGGTCGTAGTAGACGGTGCATGCTCCGATTACAAGCCTATTAATGCTGATGTTCCACAAGGCTGTGTGCTGTTACCAACGCTGTTTCTTCTGCATATCAATGATATGTTGCAAACCGGTAACATTCAATGCTACGCAGACGACAGCACTGGTGATGCTTTATACACTGGCCGTGCCAATATTTCTCGGGAGAACGTCGCCGAGTACCGAAACAAACTTGTATCTGAAGTAGAGTGTGTGACTAAATCTAGTCCAATTTAATCCCCAGAAGACACAAGTTTGCGCGTTTACCGCTAAAAAGCACCCCTTTGTCGCATCTCCTCAGTTTCAAAGCACTCCCTTTGTTGCCTCAGCCAGCATCGGAATCCTCGGTGTCGTCATATGGAGTGATGTGCAGTTTCGTGGTCACTTGGAAGAGAAGGCCAAATTGGCCTCTAAAAAGCTTGACGTGCTGAGCAGAGCGAGACATTATGCCGGCACACCGGTTGCAACTTTACAAGGCGCAGGTTCAGCCCCACATAGAATACTGTTCCCATCTCTGGGCAGGAGCTTCCCAATGCCAGCTGCTTCCACTTGATCGCATCCAGCGCAGCGCAGCTCGAATCGTCGACGACGGATTTCTTTCCGATCGGCTCGATCGGTAGGGATGTTCGATCCCTTTGCATTTTCTATCGAATTTACCACGGAGTGCTTTAGAAATTGTTAGGACTAATTCCAGCCGCTCAATTTTACCACCGCACATCGCGATAAAACTCGCGATACCATCCATACCATCTGCATGATTGGCGGTCCACCACTATGCGATTTAGAAGAGGTTTTCTTCCTCGCACAACTTCCTTGTGTAATCGACTACCACCAGAGATTTTTCCGGACCGATACGACTTAGGGACCTTAAAAAAAAAGAGCCTACTCTTTTTTAAAAGGCCGGCAACGCATCTGCTATTCCCCTGGTGTTACAGTTATTTATGGGCGGCGGTAGTCACTTATCATCAGGTGAGCCGCATGCTCAATTGCCCTGTCTGCTATAAAAAAAAATTGGTGTTTAAATAGCCTGGTTGTTCCTGGTCACCGCTATGCGATCGTTAGACACAATAATAAAAATATGATCTTGTCCATTCCGGTGTCTACCAATAACCAAAGCCTCGATAAAATGGGATCTTCAAGGAGACGGAAGGTACTTTAAATGAAAGTTGTAATTAATACCAACAAAATGTGCCACGTGCAAAATTTTCTGCAAGGTGAGTCTTATAGCTACTGTCGTACTAGATTTATCAAGGAAATTGTTAACTCCATTTGTCATTATGTGCAAATTTGTACCACAAAATTATCAGCTTTGTGTAGCAAGCAATCATAGTCAGGAAACTGAGACCTTTTCTGGTGCCACGACAATGCAGCATCACATACTTCTGCCAGAACACTGGACATTTATAATTTAAAAATGTCATGTAAAATAATCTCTACCCTACCACATAAATTAAAAGAAGATTTTTAAAGTAAAGAAAGCACTGGCTGCATACAGAAATTTCTGAGGTGTCTATAGAAGGGTGGTCAAAGACTTAAAGCATTTTAGATGTATGGAAAGTGTGTTCTATTTTTTTTTATAGGATAGGGTGACAAACGAGCACACAGCCCACCTGATGGTAAGTGGTTGCTGTGACCCATAGACATCTACATTTATCAAGGTGAATACTTTGAATAGATTGATACTGACAATTAAGAATAAATATTATAATTTTAAGGATCTAGTTTCTTTTGGCATGACCATAGTAGTGAGGGAAATAATATAGTCCCCTTCGTTCATCATCATCATTTGTTGATAGGCTTATTGGTTTTCGATACTCCACTGCTGAACATAGGCCTCCCCCCATACATATTATGCTATAATCGCCGCGACTGGCAAGCGTGTTGGCAACTGCAGTTTTTTATATTGTAGTTGTTATCAAGAAGACACTGCTGCCAATTCCCTGGTTTGTGTCACTGTGTATTCTTATATTATATTCTTACAATAAAAACATTTTACTTAGAAATATAAAAAAGTAAAATTGCTGTGTGGCAGAAGGTCTCTATCTAAAGGTGTTGCAAGAATATTATGTTTGACGAAATGATAAATGAATTTTGAATATAAAAATAAAATAAAATTTTATACCTTTGCTGCTTGAGCTTCAGCAGTTTTCTTGGCAATCTTTTGATTAAGCTCTTTCTTCCACTGCTCTAACTTCTCAAATTTGGCAGCAATTTCTTTCTCCCTCTGCTCTATTTTCAACTGTTCTTCTTTCTTTCTTTGTGCTGCGGCATCCATCATCTCTTTAATTGTGTAAGGGAAAGCTACAGCTTCATATTCCTGCCTTTCTTGAATTTCCTGTTTTGTTGGCCAGCACAAGCCTGATATATTGAACATAAACTAATAAATCAAGGAAATGTTATAGAGTATATTTTTATACTTCTACTTCAGTCCACAAAATCAGTTTTTTATTTTTAGTCGTTATTAGGAAGATGCTGCTGCCCACCTCGTGATTTGTTTCCCTTTGTCATCTCTAACGACACCCATAGGATGATATGGGGTAGTGGATATTCTTACACCACCACTACACGGTAATTAATATCTATTTAAAATCTGGTGTAAAGGAGTAGATGTATCTACATGGAGAGTTATTTAATTTGGTTGGCATTACCAAATTAAATAACTCTCCATCCAATTAAACAACTCTCCATTCGTTGTAATTCTAATTGATGTAATTAAAACTAAACATTTTAATTAAAACTTCAAAAAAAGATTTCATTATCGAAATAGACCAGTTGTGTTCATGGCATTAAAAAAACCAACTGTCATAAGTTATGAAAATTGTTTTTACAGCCAGTCTTCAAAAATTATAAATTTATAGCTGTGCCGCGCGGTTTCACCCGTGTATATCACGCGTCTGCGCCTTGCCACATGCGAACTTCGAGAAAGACATCACGACGGACGGTTGCTGAATTAACAAAGATTTTAAAAGTGAAATATGTTACTAAAATTACATGGTTAACGTAATTGGTGGTTATGCATGATACAGGTACAAAGGTAAAAAGTAGTTATTGTGACATAACTGTAATAGTTAAACATATGGTATGGCAGATTTTTTTGTAGATATTGATATCCTCTATAAAACTGAAGTACATTACTTTGCTCTATTATCAATAGTATGTAATAAGGATTCTTTTTGGTATTTTTTTACACCTTTTGATCCCTAACTTTTTGAAAATATTATATAGCCTATGTTCATCAGGGATAATGTAGGATTCTAATGGTGAAAGAATTTTTCACATCGGTCCAGTAGTTTCAGAGCCTATTCAATTCAAACAAACAAACAAATCTTTCCTCTTTATAATAGTAGTGTAGATTACATAAATAATCTACACTAGCTTAACACTTGCTGTAAATTGCACAGTACGCGAGCAACCCGGGTACCATCAAGTTGTTAATTGCAATTTTAAGTGCTGATTTACTACTTGCTCGGCAGTGAAGGAAAATTACATGAGGAAACCAAAAAAGAAATAAAAAATAATAAAAAATATTTCGAAGACGTGAAGTCTACCAACACGCATAGAGGCACCGTGGCAGATATTTCCTTGCCCTAAAACCCTCTCAGAAGTGAGAGGAGGCCTGTGCCCAACAGTGGGACATACATATGCTGAAATAAAAAGCTGTTTTCTCAATAAGTATGTGTTTCCGCATATTGAAACTTTGTGTGTGCGCTTATAAAAATGTAATCTTTCTGTAAAAATACGTATCAACACCAAACTCGACTGACGTCAATGGAAAGTCGTACCACGTAGAGGCTGCTCTTCCCGCAGCGCCGGAGACGTAGCAGTCTCAAAATAGATACAGAAATCCTTCTGAATCAGTCCCCCTATATTTTATGATGAAGGGGACTTTTTTCTCATAAAATGGATTTATATTTACATTATAAATGGAAACATGAAAAAAATATAGATATTTTAGAAATCGATTTTTTGAGAATCGATACATTAGCTTACAATTCAAATCTATTTAAAAAATTGATATTTTTCGGAACGAATCGACATCCCTACTGACAATAACAATAAAAAAATGGCGTCATTTTTATTGTAGGATTAGACATAAACAATGCAAGAATAATTGATTTTCAATAACTTTTTTCTCAAAAATGACTCGCTTCCGCATATTGTAACTTTGTGTGTGTGCTTATAATAGTGTAACTTTTCTATAAAAATATGTATCAACCCCCAACTCGATGGGAGTCAATGGAAAGTCGTACCCTATGTAGTTTTGGTGTAAGAATATCCACCACCCCATATCATCCTGTGGGTGTCGTAAGAGGCGACAGAGGGAAACTGAAATAAGAGATAGGCAGCAGCACTTTCCTGATAAAAACTTCAAATAATAAAAGCAGTTGCCAACCTGCCTGCCAAGCATGACAACTGTGGCAAAAGTCTGCCTATGAGGCAATCTATGGGAGAGGCCTATGTTCAGCAGTAGACTTTTATATGCTGTTATGGATTGATGGATGGATATTGTATTATATTCTTAAATAAGGTTAAACAAGTAGTAAAATTGAAAGATTTATACAACAGACTTCAATATAAATAAAATAAGAACATCATCAATGTAATCAAAGTCAATTAAATACTCATAATAATTAAGGATAAATCAAAACTACTGGTCAGATATTAATCAAATTTATATGAGACCACATAAGAAGCACCAGGTTTCAACTAAAAAAAAGAATCATCAAAATCAGTTCAGCGAGAAAAAGGTTCTGAGGTAACACAAAAACTATACAGTGGAATTGGGAACATCCTCCTTTTTTTTGAAGTCGGCTCTACTACGTCTAGTTTTAATTGTCTCAGCCCAATTTAATTTAATTTAATTGAGGTTGTGTCTCAGGTATCCAATTTATACATGCAATGATTGCTTGCATTTGCTCAGTAGTGAACTTTGATAGGCTGTAATGATCATTATGATGAATCGTAGTCGTAAATCGACCACGAGATCATCATCATCATCGTCTTGCCCAAAATAGCTATTGTATTACTTACATCACTAAATTCCCACAAAACAGAAAATGAGCAGAGTATAACAGTAAGCAACTAATTTTCTATTTGGATATTTCATAATAAATCTAAATTGCAATCCAACTATGTCAACTTACTAGGATTGACACCGCTAGAAACTCCATATTTTCCATACATTTTGCGGTTATACTTTACAGTCAAATGTGATATACTCATCGGCGTTTCATACGGTCGCTTGCCGTTTACGAGATTATAATGTGCCGATGATAGCCTTGACTTGTTGCGTTTCTTTTCTATTTCAGCCTCTTTCGCCTGGACATCATCAGTGTCGTCTATCAAAACTTGCTCATTTTGTTCAATTTCTGGAGCCGTTGAGGCATATTGACGAATTGAAGCCAGTAAATTTTTTCTAGCAAAAAAGGATCGCTTGCACAAATTCATGTTTTGTCAATTAGCGAATCAATTTTCAAACATTAGAAGTTTTGAAGTTGGGGTTATTGGGGTTATGAATTTTGAATTTTTGATCATAGATAAATATATATGTAGCAAGCTATTTTTGATTATTGAGGATTTGACAGTTTTGACATTTGTTTGATTGTTGTTATTAAGATTCCACAGCTAAGGCAGGCAAAAGTTTAAATACATACAGACTAATGGAACGTATTATGCTTACTTTAAAATCCTTCACGATACGATGCTTCGATAATCCTCCATCTACTTGTGCGTTACATGGTGAGTCGCAAAGTTTTTTGAGGGTTTTGGTGGTACTCAGTGGATAGCTGTTAACGATAGAATCTTCAGGCGCCTAAGAATACTTAAAATACATATCCTCATCGAGTAGCTTGTTATATTTTTCCATGAATAGCTTACAAGCGCAAGTGCAACTTTAAGTGTATATATAAGTTTTGACTTTGGGCATCATGTATTTGCGAATCAAAGTCCACAACCATTATTAAAAATGTCGGTTAATGTGAAATATTAGTGGAAATTCGATGTTTATATAAGTCTCAAGTTATTTTCTTTGCTTATGCGCTTTAACAACTTGAGTAACTGTCGTCATCGACTGTTACTGGGTTGAGCTGTCGTCAAAATCTACGATAAACTTCGCAATGTGACGCATTAGCATATTGTAAAGAAGATAACAATAATCCGAATGAAATTTAGATAAGCAGCGTTGCAAACTCTATGGATTTTTCCGTTGATTTATGGATTTTATCATCGTCAATGGAACTACGGACTTTGAGATGAAATCTACAGAATTTTATTTATATGTTAATTTTTTTGTACTTCACACTCCTTCTGGTAAGCTTAAAATGCATGTGTTAGAAGTGATTCACGACAGTAGACGAATGGCGGACTTGAACCCACGACCTTTCAAGTTTGTGGTCCGCGCCCTGCCATTAGGCTACTGACGCTTCAAAACTTTAACAAGACTTTTGACAATTGAACTTACGACAAGAATTTTACATGACAGAAAGACTTTCTCCAAAAAATTGATCTATTCTATGACAAAAACAAAAATTTTCGATCCTATTAAGAAGTCTGTAGATCTACGGATATTTTGAAACAGCATCTACGGAATTTTTTATACCAATCTACGGATTTGGAAAAAATCGAATTGGTAAAACTGAAAACATGGCTTCAAGGACAAGCATCAAAGCAAAAAGAGTGAAAAACATCGATATATTATCGTTCCTATATAGGGCAGTTACTATACTCTTTGTATTATCGTCATACTTTGCATGATGTAGTAGGATAGGTATGGCCCAAAATTTTATTACTGGACTGTTGGACGACAAAAAGAAAACTGCTGCTGCTTTTGTTGCATAAGCTTTTGACAATTAATGCAAAATTTTAAAATAAATCGAAATTGATACGAATTCGATACTCGAAATAAATATCGATATATCCATATTATTTTATTATTACCCAAGGAGTAATTGTGTTCTGTGCCCAAGTAGAGATGAGTCGTACTAGGTAAATTATGTACTAGGTGCACTTAGTCCAATTCCGTACAAATACCTGTTCCAACTAGTCCATGAAATACGCATAGACTTTGGTATTGTTGGAGTAGTACACACTTTAAAGTACGCTTAGTCTTTACGTACAGCCGATCCCGATAAGTGAAGGTAATGAATAGTAATCAATCGTCCATTCATACTTTACACAGGCTTATATGACTGGTCAACGTTAAGATTTCACAGAATACTAGCGTAAAATAGCAGCTTAACACTGCTGTGTTTCGTATGGTGAGTGTAGAGAACCGGAGACCCTTTTTACTGGAAAAGAGGCATTCTATCTTAGTCCTCACGGGTGACAACGCATCTGCATTTTGATTCGTAAACGAGGATAAATGTAGATGTCTATGGGCCGCAGCAACCACTTACCATCAGGTGGACTGTGTGCTTGTTTGTCACCCTATCCTATAAAAAAATTATCTACATTCTAAATTGTTGACGTATTTAAAAGATTTCAATTCATTTTTTATTTAAGAGTAATCCGACTTTTGGCTTTTTTTCGTTTCTTTTTTTTATTATTTTTGTTTCGTTTTTTTAATTACCTATCTACAATTATTGTATTTTACATACGCGCGAAAAATCAGTCTTAAGAATTTTTAAAACTAAATAACATTTTACAAATGTTACACTCAGACATTTGTTGGCATTTGCCGTAAAATGATCCCAAGCGACACTGCTACAATTTTTTTAAACAATAAACACTTTAATGTCTATAAAAAAAAAGTTAAAGTTCTTTAACCACATAACAAAACCTCGTTAGGAAAACCTATTATAAAATAAGTCGAGTAGGTATCATTCAATACGGTGCCGAGATCACATTTGCATGAGTCCGTATTAGACACTCGACTGCATCATATGGTCTCCATTCGCATCGAGTATTTACTAGTAACTAGTCTATAAAATCTGCTTAGTATTTGGTTTGAAGTCCATGGGACTAGTCCCGACTAGTTTCGAGTATTGAGAGACAAAGATAGAACGACTGCGGAATAGTGTAGTTGAAAAAGGACAGAATATATTCTTGCACAACACGAGTGCGCGTTTTATACACATTGAAATATAGTTCAAATTCAAATGATTGACACACGAATGATTTAGGCAAACACGAGTGAGCGGCAAAGTACTAGTAGTAGTAGTACTAAGTAGTAACTATGGCAACAAAATGCTATCTCGCTTTGCCGCGCCGGTACTTCTACTTCATCGATTCAAGTCGAGCGGGCCGCCGCGTTGTGCCGTGCGACGCGTAGGCACAGTGAGACTAGGTGGATCAAGTATTTTAAAAGCTGGAACAGGTGAAACCTAGTCTCGTTTATTACCTAGTGCCTAGATCTGTTCTAGTATATACGCTTTATCCCTGTGCTCGAGCCTAAAAAAATCTTATCACAAACCACAGAACACAATTACTCTCTACCAAGATTATAGATGTTCCGATACCATCAAAGTATCGATACCTACTCATATCAGTAGTACTCAACTCATTTTTCGATACTACTCATTCAAATACTCCTAATGTATCGATACTTTTAGATTTTTTTAATGAAATTAACGTAGCAAATGTTTCAATTCCCACAACGATCTATTCTGCCCTGCCACTTTAGATAACATCGCATAGTTCCAACCAATAAACTTACGAACTATTATGAACCTAACCTAAGTACCTAACCTAATGAAATTAATTAGTGAAAAGTTGAAGATCCCACCTTTCGTTTGTCCCTTTATTTGTTTTTTTCTATAATTTGCCTTTAACACAGTAATTCCATGAGATTTGGAATGCTTGAATAAGTTAGACGTATTGCCACAATATTTCACCGACTTAAACCATTGTTTACATTTTGCAGTTGTTTCGTTTGTTTTGGTAAAATATGTCCATATCAATGATTTTAAATAAATAAATAAAATAAAATATCTTTATTTCAGGCAACACAGGACCCATACAAGAATGTTAGTAATGAAATATAACTTAAATGATAGTGTTAGTAATTAAATTAATTTACATAAATAATGATGACAAAATGTAAATGGAGATGTTTCAGACCAGCCGCCACGAGGGTACCGGTGACTTATACCGTGGCATGTGGCCGTATCCAGCGCTCAAGCAGCGGCGAGTCCCACCTATCTGCCATTGTGTTGAGAATGCTATTGGAGCTGCCACGCAAACGTTTCAGCATCGATGCAGCACGCTCTCTAATAATGGCGTGGAAACCATCAGTGTGCATTTCAGAAAACATTACTGACGCGCTGAAAAAGCGCGGCAGCCTCATCAGCATCCTAAACCCATTATTATACTGGACACGCAACGCGCTGTACACCCGTTGCGTATAGGTAGTCCATAGGTTGCCCGTGTAAAAAGACTGGCAGTAGGCTTTGAAAATAGTAATCTTTACCTGCCTACTGCAACGAGCAAACCTACGGGCCACCATATGTTTACCTGATGGACAGCGTCCTACGTTCCCGCTCGATATCCATATTATCACGCAGATCCTCGGTGACCCAGTGACTCAGATACTTAAAATGTGAGACACGCTTTAGAGGTGAGTTGTTGAGTGTGAAGGTAGTCGCAAATGGTCGGGATTTCACTCCCGCCTTGAACATCATAAACTCGCTCTTTTTCACATTGTATCTGAGTCCATGGGACACTGCATATGCTTCACATATATTTAATAATTTCTGCATGGCACCAATCGAAGGGCTGAGTAGCACCATATCGTCTGCGTAACTTATGTTGTTAACACAAACACCATCAATATGACAGCTTACATTTGTGCCGCTCAATTTCTCGATCAGGCCATTGATATACATAGTGAAAAGCCTAGGAGATGTAAGACCACCTTGCCTCACCCCACATTCAAGTCTATACACATCGGAGTATGAGCTCACTCATCTAACACAGTTGGTCTGCCGCTCATACCACAATCGTACCTCTACTCGTGCGGCACATCAGTCTCACTTTGAAGTTTTTTCCATAATAAGTCATATGACACCAAATCGAAGGCCTTGGACAAATCAAGAAAACAGGCAAAGACTGGAGTGCTCCTATCAGTGTAGTATTTGACAGTTTGCTTGAGACACAAAATAGCGCTTTCGGTGGACAGACCTGGTTGAAAACCAAATTGTGCATCATTAAATTTTATATGACTACTTATAAGTGTTCATCAAGCAAACTGTCCAGGACCTTTGCCACCACAGTAGCCAGTGAAATTGGTCTGTAATTTGTCAAGTCCGACGGATCCCCCGATTTTGATGGTGCCATGATTACATTGGAACAATAAACCGATGACTACAATAACTTAAATAACTCGTAACATAATCGTAAACAATCACTTGTTGAATGCTGAACACTGCTATTGCTGACTGGACCAGTGACAATTTTAGTGTAATTGCGGCTCTCTGTCTCGGTCTCGGCTCGGGTGAAGTCAGACGGGTTCG